TCAATCACTGCCTTTTTTTTTATATATATATTTGAAAGTATAGCTTGTCGTGGTCAGTTCTGAGCACGTGTCTCGCATTTTGGACTCAGGGTTTATTGCGCTTTTCGGGTATAAATTGATGCGAGTCTCCCTATCTGAAATGGCTAAATTAGACAGAAGGAAGCTGCGGGGTTGGAGGGTGCAAAACAAGCGGAAAAATGCGACGAACCTTTGTTCAATTTAATTTTCTAAATGATCGCTAGAGACACGTTTGTCATGTTTTGCAAGTGCAAGTGAAATGTAATAATAGTGGGACCTGAAAATGAGATTTTACTGTCTATACCATTCTTTTAGCGGAGAGCCAGTGGCCGTCAAATCTATTTTAGCGTCTTTTTTTTTTTTTTCTCCCCTCCTCTCCCCTCCCCCAGCATGCAGAGCATATTTAATTCAGGGTGCCACGAAATTTTAAAGCGTTAGCTGTCACGAAGCACATTCCTTCTGCCCTGTGCCAGCTTTCCAGGACACAACTCAAAGACTTTTTAACAAAAGTGATGGAAAACTGTCCCTTTCTGAGCCTGGTATTTTTCTTAGAGGGCCTTTCAGATCTATAGGTGCATGAAGGCGGGTGTGGGGTGTCTCCACGGGTATCTGCCCACATCCCCATGCTAACGGCATACACCCTTGCTCCTTTTTCAGCATTTTTGACACTATTGCTTCGGTTGAAATGGGCTGTTCAACCCACTGAAAGATGTACCCCTTTCTCCTCCTCCTCCTCTGTGCAGCGGTGACTGTGCCGGGGAATAAAAAAAAACCCTCACATGTGCTTGAACAACTTCCAGCAAGACCGTTGTCCAGCTCCTATAATAATCTCTGGCTGTTATTTTTCTCTTGTCTTTTGAGGGCTGAGTATTTAGGAGAAGATGGACACTTTGGAACGGGGAGGGGGGGGACACACACGCACGACTGTAGGGGCTGAGAGAAAAAGAGATGAATTTCTACTTTCTGCTTTAATTCGAGGTGAACAAAAAAAGCAAAGCCCACCCTTCCCAGCAGCCAACCAAACACCACCAGAAGTGTCTCCTGATGAAGTTCTCTTCGTTTTCGAGACGGTATATAGGTAAAAGCGTCTTTACCTGCAGGACCTTTGAAACTACAGAGGACACTGTGCACTTTCCCATAGGATCCCACGCAGAGTAACAAAGATTTGTAGGAACCTTGTAGGCAGAGCTTGAAATTTCCACCCCCCCCCCCCGGTGCACCAGCCCACTGCAAAGCTCGATTGTTCCCTTTCAAAGGCAGAGCTGGGCTCTGCTCGCCGGCAGAATAGGTCGCCTCTTTGCGGTACAACGTGTTCAAAAAAGGGACAATGCAAAGGAAGGTTTGCCTGGGGAAAAAAGAAAAAAAAAAATAAAGGTTAAAAATGTTCCAACTCCTCCTCTCCCCTTCCAAACCGAGGGCTACCCGGGGAACGCACAAATCCAACTCCGTTTTTAATCGTTTTCAGAAAGTAGCTAATCGCTATTCAAATGTGTGTAGAGAAAGGTTTGCTAAACCCCTTTTTTTTTTTCTTTTTCTAATTTTTCTGATTTCCAGAGAAAGTCTTTCCAAGTTCTAAAATACGCAGTTCAAGTCTGAAGTGTAAGGCTTTCAAATCGAAATCATTGATCTAAATTTGCTCCTTTCAGATTTGCTTGAATGTGCTTGATGAGACGCTGTTTTGATGTTTTACTGCATATGAGAGGATAATTTCTGGACATGTAAATAAAAGCATATTGCATGCGGGGAAAAGCATAATATCTCGTTGTAAATGATGAATCGCCTAGTGCAGAGGCAATCTATTCTTTATTTTGATACAAATAGGATTGAAAAAATATTAATTAATTTCTCCATTCTATCTATCTATCTATCTCTCCATCCATCTATCTATCCATCTACTAAAATAGCGGATATATGCACTGTATAATACATATATTTGATGAATGTATATCTACTTATATATGTGTAGATGTAGAAATGTATACACAAATATGCATTTATATATACTCTTACATAAATCAGGATTGTGTGTATATGTGCATATGTAACGTGTAGTATACATGTGCCTACATACGCAAGAATATATATAATTTACATATATGTATGTGTAAATTTATATATGGCTGCACATGGAAAAATTTCGGGGATATAAGTGTGTATATATGCATGTATATGTAAATCTGTGTATGTGCAACTGCGTATATGTATATATCTTTATATGCCTGCATATAAGTCTAAGTCTATATATGTGTGTATATATAGTCACATATATGTCTGTAGATATATGTAAGTGTGTAACAGATAATGTTTTTTACTATCCGATTGAGGTAGACTTCTGCAGCCTATTGTTTCAGACAACAGATATAAGTTGCAATGGAAGAGGAACGTCGGATTTGGTGTCTGTCCCCCATTTCCAATTATAGATGGATCATTACAGACAGAGAAGTACTGAGAATCCAGACATCTGCTCTTCACATGAATGCACTCACCTCCTAGAGAACAGCCTGCCATCATGCTCTGGAAACTGGTTGAAAATGTCAAGTATGAAGATATCTATGAGGTGAGTATATAATATGCATATGGGTAAGAGAGTATATATATATTTAAATATACATCTAGTATATAGATACAGGCATGACTATATAATACATATATAGCTCTACTTATACAAATAGGCAGATACAGAGACGCATACACCAACACACACAAGTACAGAGACGGGAAACCAAAAGTAAATGCTTAAATGCTTATTTATTTGCATATTTGTATTCAGCATGCCAAGTCCTAAACTTTTTTTTTTTTCATGGAAAAGCTGTTTGATGCGATTTAAAACATCAAAGAAAGGATCTGGGGGTTGGAACGAGGCAACTTAAAGGCAAGAGTTTGATTGTTTAGACCCTGAATTAAATATAATTCGATTAAATATGGACAAATGTCGAGAGGAAAAAAAAGCTGAAAATAGAAGAGAAACACAATCTGGTATTCAGGGACTGGAGACATTTCTTTCTTTTATTTTTTATTTTGCAATTCCAAGCCAAGCTCAACCTGAATTTGGATTTTTTTTTCTTTTCTTGTTCTCACGATCGGATTCTTTTTTTATTGCTTTTTGTACCTGTATACCGACAAATAAGATGTGTACGTATACATATACTCGCATTAACTAAGCGGCACATACAGTCTTGCATGTGCGTGAGTACACGCACCCGAGGAGACACATTCAAAGGCAGCTCCGCGTAGCGCGCGGAACACGAAAAGTTCTGCGCTTTATTCGGACCTCCTGGTTATTTTTGAGATCAAAAAGCGGACCGAGGGGGGAAGGAGGGAGGGGGGGGATCACAGCCTAAACGCCGTGAAACCTTTCTTAATTTTGCATGGTTTCCTGATCCCGGATCCTTCCCAAACGGGCTCCGCGAATTCATTGCTTGTAAGTTACCCAGCGCGCTGGATTTGCTCCGAAACGGGAAGAGAAGATGTTTAAGCAAAGGCGCTCTGCAATGTTACAAATTTCTTAATAATTTTTTCAATTCATTTTTTAATTTGGGGAAGGCATTTTGCACGGCGACCGCGGAGGAGACCGGGG